CCCCAAAACCCCAAAACCCCAAAACCCCAAAACCCCAAAACCCCAAAACCCCTAAAAATACAGCAAAATTGAAATTTATTGGATTAAAGCTAAGAGATGGCTAGCATAAGATAAAGGATTTGTTTAATGTGCAGATAGTTAAAGTCCTCTAAACATTCTTGTGCTATAAAAGCAGTCAAGATTCTATAAGGCTGGTAAGAAGGAAACTTTCTTGTACAGCATCAAATTATTTTAGCAGAATTACATTACATCTTTGATCTGCCTCTTCGTTTGATCCAAAGCCGTATTTGAGATGTTTTAGAATATGCAGCAATTCTTGTCTGAAATCGTACTTTTAATTTCTTTGAAGCCATATTTCTCTAAAACAGAGCAGACCTCCTCTCCAGTCAGTTTACAGGAGTCTACAAAAATTTCTTCAAAGCTTTTCTTGAAATCCTCGCTTTGGGAAAGTCCTTTAATCAAATTGTCGAAGTCAAGAGGTTCATTGTGATAGCCACTTCCTTCGCTTAATTCTATCTTTTTAATTCGAGTCTCTCAGAGAGCCTCTTCAAGATCAGGAATAGATGAAAGATCTATTTTGAATTTGGATAACGAAAATCACTCAACGTGATTGAACTTTGATAAAAGATTGACAAAATTTTGTTCGCTGATACTAAATTGGTTGATCTTAAGTTTCTTCTGGACTCGAGGTCCTATTGCTAATAATCCTTGCATATAAAACCCGATGGATGCGTCTTTATTCTCAAAATCGTTAAAGAACGAGAAGGTATCAACCATATTAGGGAAACTGTTCTTCAGAAAGTTGTTGATGTCTTCAGAATGTTCATTTTGGACGAAGTCAATAGAAAAGTTTTCAAAGTTAGGAAATCTTTTGTCAGCTTTTGAAATTAAATCCAAGTTCATCGTATTGTCTAGTCGTAGTCTCATGGAAGTACTTCCTTCTCTATAGAGAGTAAAATCTGATGACTTTAGGATATCTTTGGAGGAGTTTGGGTCAATAGATCTTCAGAATGAAGCAAAGTCTTTTTGGGTATAAGTCGTAAAAGGAATGAGTCTTTGTTCAAGGATTTTGTTGTCTTGGAGAGCAAGATCTAGTTTCTTTAGGGTTTTTGTAAGTTCTTTATCTAGATTTGTAATCTTGGTGCTTTGTACGTCTTTTGTTTCTTCAGGAAATGAGGTGTTTTGGTCTAAGATAGAAGTATCTTCCGAGGAAAGTTGTTGTGGTTCATCTATCGTTTTTTCATTAATGTCTTCAGCATTGCTAATCTTTTTCTTAAAGTTATTAAGCTCATCCTCCAGTTTATTTTTCTCTTCAGCATGCTTTTGCAAGATGCTTTGTTTCTCCTCTTCAAAATCTGCATGACTTTGCTTCAGTGTTTGGTGATTAGCCTTTTCCTTATCATGATCTTTCGTAAGCTCTAAAATCTTCTTCTGCAGTTCATCGATTTCGCCATTTTTTTCATTTAACTCACTATCAAAAGTGGTTTGTTTTTCCTGTTGCTCTTTTTCGATCTTCTCACAAGTTTCCTTCAGCTTAGCGTCACAGTCATCTCTAACTTCCTGTACCTGACCACTATAACTCTTTTGGAGTTCTTCCTTCTCTGCATTATAGTTAGACTTCAGGTCCTTAATCCTTGCTCTGAGGTTGGCTGCCTTTTCAGCATTAGTCTTTACTTTTTGTTCGAGTTGCTCGATATTTTCAAGAGATTTAATGAGCTCATCAGATTTTGTCTTGATCTCTTCTCTAAGCTCAGATATTAGTTGATCTTTTTCCTTAATTTCTTCAATATTTATCGACTTAGCCTCTTCTATCTCAGTTTGAGTGGCTATGAGATCTTGTATCTTCTGTTTATATTCTTCTTTTTGTTCCTCTGGTTCTTGCTTTTGTGATTTCTCCAATTTTTTTAACTGATCTCTCAACTCTTCGATCTTTTTCTCCTTACTAGAAAGCTTGATGCCAAGCTCAGATTTTTCTTCTTGGATGCGTTCTCTTTGTTGCTTGAGCTTGTTAACAGTTCTTTCAAGCAACTTGTTATACTCTTCTCTGAGCTCTTTAGTAACAAGGTCTGGACTCTTTTCAATGGTTCCTTCGACGGTTGATAATGCCTTCTTCCAGTTTGTAGCCACCGAGTGTTTAATGAACAATTTATCATTCATGACAAGATCCTCAAGTCTCTTGGCTTCTTGCAGCAAGGCTTCAAGCTTATAGAATTGTCTGGTGGTAACGGCATCATCGAGGCTTAAAAAGATGTTGCCAACAGCCTCCCTGATACTGGAGTCGAACCCATTGTGTTCACTTTCAGATCCAAGGTACCCATGGCTTTGTGAAGATACCAATAACTCCTTCCTACACTGATCTATCACCTTCAGCAATGTTTTTATTGGATCTGGAGGGATTAACAGAATAGAACCATCCGCAGAATACTTTGTTGTCTTATGTGTATAACACACATAAATCTTCTTGTCAATTAAATAATGCTGAGACTCCTCTTGACAAGACTCACTTCCTCACCTTGGAAATTTCATACTTTCTCCACTAAAACAAGACTATCTCCTAAATTTTATAATTTCCCAACCTCATCAGATTATCAGGGGTTTTGGGGTTTTGGGGTTTTGGGGTTTTGGGG